CTGCTCCACACAGAGGCCGTGGTACATCAGTGGTCTGCGATTGTGTCAGGAAGGACATCCGGCGTAAAAACAATTACCAAGTCTTTATGCGACTTAGTTCGCTGTGGCGACCCCTGAAGAGGGGAGAAGCCAAAAAAAAGTGTCTGCTCTGGTTTTCTCCCACAGTACAAAAGCACGCATGTTAGTCTGCCTTCAGGTCCAGGCCTTCCTTTCAAGAGATCTGTGATCTCAGTGGGATTTGCCTAGTTAAATAAAGGTTCAAGAAAATAATTAATTAAGCTTGGGATTATTATTTTAATCTAACCCTACATTAAACTTCTCAAGAATGTTATCCCTGATCTGTCTGGTGTGTTCCTTGGTCTTCATGATGCTGTTTGACCACTATTGTCCTGTGACTAACCCCTGAGGCCTTCACAGAACAGCAGTATTTATACTGAGAATAACACACAGGTGGACTCGATTTACTAATAAGGTGACTTGTAAAGGCAACCTGTTGGAGACTTTGGTTTTATTTTGGGGCATCAGAGTAAAGGTGCCTGAATATAAATATGCTAGACTTTTCAGATGTTTTGTTGGGGGGGAAATAAATACTTCTATAGTCTTCTTTCCACTTTTCAAGTATGTACTTCTGTATTGCTCTATCACATATTCCCCAGTAAACTTTAATTTAAAGTTTGTGGTGAACATGACAACAATAGAAAAGCACAAGGGGTGTGAAAACGTTTCATTTTGTTCTAATTCTAAAGTATTCATTGCTACTTGCGGTACAAAACCGAGAAATATAGTGCACCCAAGAACTTTGGTCACACACGTTGCACAAATGGTAAATTAACATAAGAAAGTGTTCCACACACAGCAGCGAGGGGTAGTGTGGTAAAGTGTAGCCTTGCCGTTTCCTGCAGATGAAGATGGCCAGAAAGGCAATGAGGCCAGACACCAGTGCCATGCAGATCCAGATGATTGTCATGGTGTTGTAATGAAGAGGAGCTGCAGACAAACACAAACACGTTAGCGTTCTGTTCACACTCACCAAACACAGTCACAGTGTGCATGGGAGAGCAGAAGGGCAGCAGATTGAAGTCTCATGAGAATACCACTACTTTCTAATCCACCGATTTTTGATAGTGACCTTTCTTACGCCTAGATGCTGCCATACACCAAACTGGAAGTCAACAAGTTGCTTATTTTTCAAGTTATTTAACTCACAACGTTAACATATATACATATATGGTGGCAACCATTTTGGATTTTGACGTGGCAACCCACTTTTTAAATGAACCTTTGTTCCACCTAGATGCAGCCACACACCAACAATGGAAGATGGTACCCCACTTTTTTCAAGCTATCATGCTCACAACATGCAAGGACGGAGGGACGGAGAGGATTTACAATTTCTTCCCTTAGTTTTGTGAAGGAGGACAATAAATACAAAAAAACCCCTGCTGGAACATTATCAAAGACCCAGTTCCTGACAGTGAGGCTTTGCCCAACCAGTCTATCTGTTCTCTTAACTTGGACAAAATCAAGTCACTTGGCGGGGGTCGGGTGGGGG